AAGAGACGTCTTCCAGAATGTCACGAGAGACAAGAGAGAGAGCAAATAGATCAAGAACGAATCAGACTATGCAGTTAGGAGAAACAGTATGGATAAGGAATGAATTGCCCAGCCCTGGGACTAGTAGGAAGTTGAATACCAAGTGGAAGGGTCCGTACACTATAACAGAAATTATACGAGATGGTGCCGCGTATGAGTTGACTAACCCCTTTGATGAAAGTGAGGTGATAAAGAGAGTGGCTGAGAAAGTAAAGAGATATGTAAGTTGAGACATGTTTGTTCAGCTGAATGAGCTCCTACTTCCACCTTATGATTCTTCCTCGGACTCAGGTTCAGACGAAACAGATGAGGAAAGTGATGACGGAAATGTGGAAGGTCAGCCTGCGAGCAGATTCCCTGTGAGGCAGAGGAGACCAGTAGTTAGAATGGATTTGTAGGACACATAGTTCCAGAATGTTGCTTCAATTGAATATTCTTGGCTACACAGTTGGTAGAGTTGACTTGTTGAATTATAAAATTTTTGGTGTGGGAGACAGTTGCTCAGGTGGTTTGTTGGATTATTTTCTTTTGGGTGTTGACTTCGTCAGTTATAATGAAGTCACCCCGACATTTTAAATACCAGTTCTTACCTGTTGTTACATATGTTGTCAAAGCTGGAGAAATCTCAGTTTTATGTGTTGTCAGAACTTTTGGGTTGTTGACTCATTCCGGGTAATGCAGTCACCTCGACAGTTTAAATACCAGTTCTTACGAACTGAAGTCCGGAAATCCAGTTGTTGCATATGTTGTCGAAGGGAGAAATCTCAGGTTTTTATGTGTGTTGTCGGAAGTTTCTTTTGGGTTGTTGACTCACTCCGGGTAATGGAGTCACCTCGACCTTAAAATACCAGTTCTTCTGAACTGTGAGATAGAAAATCCAGGTTTGGTGTTATGAACCCCATTGTGTCATTATAGAACCACGGTTTTGTATTGAAAAGGTGAATTATTATTCAAACGGAGTAGTAATCTGAGGAAGTGTCTGATGTAACTCATAGACAAGAATTTAAATTCCTTAGTACCTGTATATGTAATTTCATGCAGAGAACATTTGTTGTAGATCTAATGTCAAAGAGTTTCTGTTCATGTGTTAGTACCAAAAATATGTTGAGGTAACACTCTGATGAACTGTTAGGGACATGTTCCTCATACTGTATTTTACTGAAATAACGGAATTGATAAGTTGTTGCATGTATCGGTAACGGAGACCCGAGTATGAAAAGTTCAAGTCTCCTTATAATTTTCTTTTTAATGATATATTGTGTACCGAAGTAGTAGGATTGTAAACTGTTGTCTGATGTACATGGCAGCGGAGACGCTCGTGGGAAACGTTTAAGTCTCCTTATGTTTTGTTTTATGTATTAAGGTACTGTAATCACAAACTGTTAGGATGTTGTCGAATATATGTACACTACAGCATTAGTGCTTTTGCATATTATTCCACATAATATGAATCTTTGGGAGGGGAAGGCTATGTACTGCACACATCATTGTCTTTCCTAAAAAAGCCCTTTAATTCATATTACGCTGCATAACATTCAAATCCACCGCGCTTGTAGAATCTCAGAGAACGGGAAACATTGATAAAGGATAACTCACCTACTCAATGTTACTGAATCATGTGTTGTATTGTACCCAGGTACAGTTATATAATGTTAATTGTATGTATTCATAGCATTAAGGAGAACTCAGGGTATCCATAAGATGATTGGGAAAGTCCAGTTGAGCCGGACTAGTGTACTGGAGGACTAAGTGTGGATCATGGTTTGAAGGTCATACTATTTATGTCTGTGAACGTGTAGTAAACATAACTTCCACAAATATCATATGAAAATACATGAGAACAATGATCTGGAAAAAGGATAAATGTATCAGAACTATGTGAGGTGTTGGAAGTGACCCAGAAACTATACTTGAAAGGAAATATCTTGTATGCATCGGTGTGAACTTAATACACCTCGTCTCCTCGGGTGACGTATACCGACGACATGTACAGTGATCAGAGAATCTTATGTCTGTGTTCAAGTAGTGCAATGTGTGAGGGGGGATCACTAATTACCGTTTTAAGTGAAGTGGATACCCACGTTATGAACATTCGGCTTTTGTTTCAAGGCAGCGTCCCTTGTACCCGGCCTACAGGTGCGAGTTGTTGATATAGCCCACTTAATTTCCCCAAGAACTGTCAAGCCCGAACCGTATTCTAGTATGTAAGTTAGGATTAAAATATGGATTTATAAGACACCAGGTTACAATATACGGGAAAGTGTTCATGTGGGAACCATAAGAAATCAAAGGGAAAATTAAAGATTGGAAACTGTAGGCCTACGCGGTGAGAAGCGGCACTGCACTGCCCTCAGTATCCTTTGTTCTCCCATCAACTCAGGTCAGTGTCCTCCATCGGGCTACATCCCGCCCTAGACTTTGCCTGATGTATAAAGTGAAGTAGTAATGTGTTACAGGGGGTAATAACCGCCCATCAGGCATTATTTCTAAGTATCCTTCGTTCTCCCATCAACTCAGGTCCCACGCGGTTGGAGCACCTTGCTGGGCGTCGGCCATTATCACTGTGAGCGTCCCACCATGTGAGGTGACTACCAGCTATGCTATTCCACTGTAAACCTGTGGATTCCCAGCATACCACTCCAAATGAGTAGGAATAAATAAGGAAATGCTTGAGAAACTCCGCGGTCATTACTTGGAGCGACCTATAATACCAGGCGTAGAAACAGTACTGGTATGTCGCTTGGTGAAACCCTCGTCTCTACCCACCATGGGCGGTGTGTGAACGAGGTGCCTGATATGTGTACCGAGAAATTACAAGAAGTCCCATACTTGCAGGTGTGGAGTATAACAGGTGTGGTGAGCTGGTGTTACAGGGAGGTGAGATGGTGTTACTATGTATGATGACCTAAGGTGCTATATTCTATACAGGTGGAACAGTCTGACGTGTGGAGTGTTATTGTAAGAAGGGTAACCAAAATCATCGTTGTTCTTCTGAGGAAGGCCAACTCATTTGTATTTTACCGGAATGCAGTATGTTTTATAAGGAATAAATTAGTTAAGACATGTTATGGCTTCACCCTTCTTTCCCCTTATCTATCTGGTTAATGAAAAATCTAACCCAATGCCTAGTCCACTCTGCCCGCTACCTAACGAGCTACATACTTCCCAGAGGGGGTCTGGTGGCAGCAACCTTTAAAATTAAGACTATAGTTAAGTTATTCCCCTTAGAATTAGTGACCCCAGAATCTGGCAGTATCCCCCCCCCCCTTCCTCACTCAAGCATGGTTATCTGTGATATTGAGATGAATTCCATATAATAATGATCCTTAATAAATTCTCTTTGAGTTGTTTCCAATATGATATCGCTAAATGACAAGCCCAAATTAATGTAAAAATAAGTATTTTACTGTATATGAGGAGTTCTGGTATTAATAAGCTCAAATTATTACAGTTTTTATCCCTAAAGGTCTCCTCGACCATCAGTCTCTATGTACAGAACTAAACAAAGAATTTGTTTAAAATACTCTGTAACATTCAATACCATAATATCCTGACCACTGGGGCTAGTTCTACAGACTTTTCCCCGTGAAAAAGCCATTATTTTGAGCAACATTACTATACTCATTTTGTACTCAAATGTTCTAAGTTAAAGGACTAAAAAAATTATCTTGTGCAAACTATGTGATATTTATACACAAATTAATTGCTATCTTGCAAGGATTCCAGCACTGCAAGTTATATTCTCCTAAATCAAGTCTGTGCCATTTTATAAGGGAAACTTTTAAGCCTAAAACAACCTTCATCCCGTTAATCATTATCACCCACCGCCATATGCCTCACCTGCTGGCTGGGAGGAGGAAGGATAGGGAGATGGGATGTTGACAGCCAGGAGAGGAGATTAATGCGTACGTAGTTGTCAGGGTCTCAAGGATTACAAAACACAGGGAGTTTAAGTTTTTCACTTATAAAATGTCACTCACTTGACTTAGCAGAATGTAACTTGCATTGCTGGAATTCTTGCAGGAAAGTGATTAATTTGAGTATAAACCTCCCATAGTTTGCACTAGACATAAAAAAAATAATTAACTTAGTATATATTTGAGTACAGGTTGTGATTATTTATGTGGTTGCTCAGCAGTTGTGGCTGCAGATGCAAAGCTTCGTGACATCACTAGTGTATAATGCGTCTCTATATGCCCTGGTTTATTCACTGATCAGTTGTTTAAGTCCAAAAGTAGCCAAATCGAGCCTTCATGTATCAATTTATTTTAAAATAGAAATTATAAAGTAAAATGTTATAAGACAATGGTTTATTAATGCTGTGAATGTGTGTGCTTTGTCTTGTCATGTCACCTCACCTATTGCCTTGTCACCTAACCACCTGACTAGTCACCTCACCCTTCGCCTTGTTAACCCAGCTCAGAATTACATTGATTTATTACTGTATTATTTTACTTTTTTAGTATTGTATGTACATTTAAAGAAATATTTATATTTGCTCAGTATTTATAAATGGACTCAGAGCAGAAAATCCAGCATTACCTAAGCAGTTGGTCTTTCCACCCACGCACCAACCATGTGTGGATGCGGCTAAGCGTGATGCAATCTTTCATAACGCTGGGAACCTTTGTCCCCAGGCCTGGAGCAGAAAGGTTTGGAGTGATTTTTTTGCAATTTCTCAAATTTTCCAGTAATTGTGCATTATTTCAAAATCGATATTTTCTCCCAGACCCAGAAATAATAATTTGCACAGATTTTCCAGATTTCTTTTAATTTTCAGAAAATGCTCCAGATTTTCAACCTCAGTATTTGTTCCCAAACCCAGAATTTAGGGAATTTTCTGGAAAAATTCTGAGCAAATTTCAATTCCAGCTATTGGAGAGTTGGTTTGAAGGATTCCAGCTAACGGAGATATTACTACAGATTTCATGCCTCATTCATTTAATTTTTCTTCTGTCTAGGTACATCTAACTGGAGTGGAGACTACTTTATCAACACAGGTGGCATTGGACTGGTTGTCAATGAAACAGATTCATCTGCAGCAAATACTGAAACTGCTGCCGAAGACATCTCTGTCCGTCAACAACTCCAGGCATTGTTTGAACGAGATTGGACGTCTGAACATGCTAGACCCTTAGATGACTTCTTCCCATAATGATGATGTTTGAGTATTTTATTCAATAATTTAATTTCTTTTGTACGGGATACATGATTTCCTTGAGAATACTCTCTTCTCTATTGTAAGTTAAAATTAAAGGATGTTTAAGATACATTTTCTTTATGTGAATATTTAGTGGTATCATTAATATTTTTTACTTATAATTGCATTGTGTCTAGAACTTCTGTTAAAATGACATCAATACCTCAAATTATGACATTTAGGAAGTATTATTAATAAAATAAAGTTGATGTTTGTTTCTTATGATAACGAGCCACTCTTTCTGATAGCTACTGTACAAGGTAGACCAGACAAGCTGTGCCTTCAAATGATATTCTGTAAACACATCCCTTTGCATAATCAAAATCTGAAATAGCAGTGGATTGGCTGCATAGTTATGAATATTTTGAATGCTCTTGTAGCGAAAGATTCTCTTCGGTTCTAGTGTTTGTCTATGAAACATTCTTGACAGTACAGTACAGTACAGTACTGTACTGCTTCCCTTAGGTTTTAGTGTTCGTCTGTGAAGCATCCTTGACACTTTTGTTGATAAGTAACCCCAGAAGAACCCATTAAGCTTATGAATGAATACTTTATCTCCCACCCCTACATAAATAATGCCTAACTGTCCTTGTGTGTTTGTGTGTGCATGCATGCATGCACTGACATGCACATGAGTCTGATCAGGTATCTTGTGGATGAAATAACTCTGCATTTTTTGGTGAGGTATGGCCTCTTTTATCTTAATGGCAGTGGCGGTTCCAAGACCTTGGTCAGCTTGTGTGGTGATTTTCACCATGAATTGAAATTAAGTAAAATGGATCCCTAACCTGCCTGAACTCAAATAGTTATCTTCCCAGTAACCATCAGATATTTAGCTGACCTATGAATGCTGAACTGTGTAATGCCCTTCTGAGGTGTGAATAGACTTCTATTAAGTCACTCCTTGCCTGCCTGTAGTACATGCAAGGTGACTGTAAGTGTTCTAATATCTCTGTGTAACAGAGGTGCTGTAGTACAGGCATCAGTCTGGTGACTCTCCTTTGGACATTTTCAATCAACTGACAGTCTCTAACATATCTCGGGGACCAGAAGGGATGACGGTACTCCAAGCAGAGGGGCACCTCACTTTTGAAGAGTATTATGCCCTTTTTATCAGACTTAGTTTACCTTGATTTACCTTCTTCTCATAATGGCCCCAAGAATTTCATTTTGTTGTCAATATACACATCCAGGTCCTTTTCACATTTCTTAGTTAATGGGGTTTCCTTATCATGTTGGAAAATGTTATACACCTCCTTACTATTGGTACGATCTATAGTTCATTTTATATTAATATCCAAAATAAGCACCACCCTTCATTTTAGTTTCAGCTTGGGATGGCTTTGTAATAGCCCCTGTCCTATAGGCAGAAATATTTATATGAATGGGTTAATTACGTTTGATTTTTATACTCTATCACTCTCTGTAACTTTCCACTAGCTATGAGGTAGCATGTTCAAAGCACGTGATAAGGTGTGCCCACAGGAAGTCATGTCACTTAGTGCTGAGCCAAGGCATTAAGTAGCCGACTCTTTGGCCACCTCTTGCGGCAGTAGTTCATTATTACTCACTAGAGGAAGACGTTATTGAGAACCATCATGGATGGTTCCATCTTCCCTCGAGGGAGGACGTATATTTCCGTTCTTCCCTCGATGGGTCACTACTCATTCTCACTCAACTATCGTATCAACAGGACATACTTAGCAGAGCTATTTAATATAGCCTCCGTTCTCATTTTAAATCTCATATTAACATCTTAATAGCTGCATTGAGATAATTTAGTGATTAACCTACGGTAATACACAGTGGAACAGTATAGAAACCTTTTACTACTACAAAGAAGAAGAATTGTTATATCCGTGGCAGCGAATCTACGGACCCATATACAAAGAAACCGTTATACTACTGTTACATCTGTTACAATGATCAAAGAAATCGGTAACGGATAACAGCATTCCAGTTTATATATACATTCTACATAACAAGTCATAAGTGTTTTACGAAACCAGAAAAACAAAAAAGAGTGACGTGTTATATTCTTCCAAAGTGTATTATAATATCCCGTAGTGAGATGTTACATGTTGAGTGATTTTTATTTTGTCATCCAAAGAGAAGTACAAGTTAATTTTTCTCAATAACCATTAATGAGCTATTGATATTTGCTGAATTATGGCAACACTCCTGTGAGCTGAAGTGAACATTAGTTTCTGCAAATGATTCGTTCACTGCCCAGGGTGTGACAGGACATGACTACAGTTGTTGTGACTGCTCATCAATCAACATCCTGTCAACAAAATTCTTTCGTATGCCGTGAGTAACCCCCAGTTACCAGCACCCCTTTAATGATGACACATCTCTGACCACAAGAGATGGTCTCAGCATTCTGAGGTATGGTGTGGTGGATGCACTAGTGTACCCAGTGAACCCCAGAGTCCTTGAGTTCACTGACAGGGAGCAGCAGTTTGATGTGCTCAGGATTTTCGTGGACATTGACCTAGTCATCGATCTTAGCATCAGCTGTGTCTCCTGTGAATGACACACGCAAGTCTGCGGTATTGTGGCAACAATTTCACATTTTCAAGAATTTCTAGAAAGGATTCTTCAATCAAGCCTACAAGGAATAGGTAGTTTTTAGGTATATATATATATATATATATATATATATATATATATATATATATATATATATATATATATATATATATATATATATATATATATATATATATATATATATATATATATATATATATATTCAATGACATAACTTCACACAGATAGACATTGTGTAGATTATATAAATTTTTATAAGTGCCCTATGTACTTATTTTAATATATACTGAGTTACAAGTAATATAATTTGAAGTATCTATTTTTCACCTGTTCAGTTATTGATACTTTAATTGTTTTAATTATAATTTATATCAATTTACTGTAAATGGATGGACAAGGTTATTATTTTTTGGGGGTTTGTATCTGAAAAATTTTTCAAACCTTAGACATAAAAAATGTGGACATTTTTTTTTCTTACCCAGGAAGGATAATAATGTTAATAATTTTCAAAACTACAAATATGATAGTTTTATAATAATATTAATAATGTTATTAATTTTAATGATGTGTAAGACACATCTTTTCAAAACTACAAATATGATAGTTTTATATTAATTTTAATGATGTCATAGACACATCTTTTCAAACTACAAATGTGACAGTTATACAGTAATATTTTTGTCTTTTAAGTCAGAATCATCCAATTTTGCCATTGTACATAATATACTCTCCATAAGGCATTGCAGACTAGGGCTTGAGTAGCTGTTCAACCACAGGTGTTAGCTTCCCCAGTTTAGTGTTTACACACATATGCATGTAACATGGTTAGGTTTATGTATAGGGGTTTTTCTGCGAGTTTAGTTTATTCCTCGAGGAGCTTGGATGGTGTGACCGAGTGATGTAATGGCCCCTGTCTTATAGGCAGAAGTATTTATATGAATGGGTTAATTACATTTGATTTATACCTGTATACTCTATCACCCTCTGTAACTTTCCACTAGCTATGAGGTAGCATGTTCAGAGCACGTGATAAGGTGTGCCCACGGGGAGTCGTGTCACTTAGTGCTGAGCTAAGGCATTAAGTAGTCGGCTCTGGCCACCTCTTGCGGCAGTAGTTTGATATCCTTGACGAGAGGAAGGCGTTATTGAGAGCCATCGTGGATGGTTCCATCTTCCCTCGAGGGAAGACGTATATTATCGTTCTCCCTCGACGGGTATTACAAGCATTGTCACTCAACACCTCACACCAACTGGACGTATTTAGAGGAGCTATTTAATATAGCCTCTGTCCTCATTTTAACACTCATAGCTACAGTGATTAAGTTATGGTGATATACACTTGGAACTGTATATGAAATAGTTTCTCAATAAATACAGAACAGACAATTGTGTTTTGCTACTAAAACCCTATATACTTTTACATGTTCCAGCCCCATTAACCCAGAAAGAATCAACGGTTAAAGGGCCAGGTCAGCTTGGAGCCAGACGCCTTTGATCTCATGGATTTTTAATCCAAATGATCACTCACTTGTCCTTCAACAGTCAAGTCGATTGGAGGGCGAGTGATGCAGCTCCTAACAAGTCTCTCACTCTCTCCACACACAGCACTGGGCTAGACTAACAGTAATAGAAGTACAGGCATTTCCCGGGTTACGGAAGGTATGTGTCCTTGAAAATTTTTACGTAATGTGAAATTCCGTAACGCGAAACCAATTTTCCCATTGACTTCCCTTATGTAATTGGAGATGCGTTCCCAAGGAAATCTTTTCAGCAATAACACATAATACAAGCACATCATCATCATCTGCTTCATCTGCTACAGCCCTTGCTCTTGGGGCAAAAAACTTGTCTAAAGTTGTTTGGTGTTGACGGCGCATTATGTCGTTGTATAGCTCTCTGTAGCAGTTGAGGCTATTCTCTTGCAACTCTGAGGTTACGTTCACGATCGGTATCGTTAGTAGCAAAGATTTGCAAAGCTTCCTCTATAAGTGCAAACCCTTTGGCCAAATGCTCTGTTGTCAACTCAAGTGTGATGGGTGGAACCTCTATATCCTCTTCTCCTGCAGCTTGCTCCTGTTCCAACAGCATCAGATATTCATTACAGATCTTCTCTTTGGGACTCTAATAACTCAACCACATCATCTTGTATGATTTCTTCAAAGCTTACATTATTTCCAAGTGTCACAATATCTTGGTGAACTTTATTAATGGTTTCTGCTTGGGGAAAACCTTGAAAGTCGTGGATACACTCTGGCCATATATTCTTCCACATACCATTCATAGTTGATGGTTTCATTTCATCCCACGACTTGCCTATGTTTTCCACGGCGTTCATGATGTTGAAATTTTTCCAGAAGTCCCTTCCTGTTGGTTTATCCTCCCCTTAATTGCTGCTATGGCCTGTTTAAATGTTCTTCTTAGGTAATAGGCCATAAAGTTTGTAATCACACCTTGAGACATTGGCTGGAGCAAGGCAGTTGTGTTCTTGGGCATACATTCCACTCGCACATTATCAGAAAGATCATTCAGGTTAATTGGGTGGCTTGGTGCATTATCTAAGAGGAGCAAAGCTTTGATGGATATATTTTGCCAGTTACTGTAACTTTCAACATCAGGGGAAAATAGTTAGTGAACCAGTCTTGAAAAAGGCTCATGGTCATCCAAGCTTTCTTGTTTGAATCACTGGTAGCTTAGGCTTGGTGTAGCCCTTGAAAGCCCTTGGATTTTCAGAGTGATAAACGAGTAGGGACTTTAATTTCATATCACCAGCAACATTTCCTCCCAAAATAAGAGTTAGACAATCTTTTGAATCTTTAAAACCTGGTGCTGACTTTTCTTCTTTGGAAATGAATATCCTAGCAGGCATGTGCTTCCAAAAAAATCCGGTTTCATCCACATTGTACACTTGTTCTGGTGTGTAGCCGCCTTCAGCAACAATTTTCTTCAGTTCTTCCGGATATTTACGTACAGCTTCTGTATCAGCACTGGCAGCTTCACCGACCATCTCAATGTTACGCAACTGAAGGCGATTCTTAAACATTTCAAACCATCCTTTACTGGCCTGAAAAGGTTTTGCATCAGAACTTGCACCTTGTTCTTTCTGCAAATCCACATACAAACTTTTTGCTTTATCCTGAGTGATCATCGTGCTTAAGGGCTCATTCTGTTTTGTTTGGTCTTCAATCCACAAATTCAAGAGTCTCTTCATATTAAGCATCACATCACTTATATGAAAATACAACATACAGGCAGTTAAAGGAGTAGCCAATTGGGCACTTGACCTAATTTTGTCTTTATTATCACATATTGTACACACTGTAGACGTAGCAAGGCATAATGCTTTTGCAATATGGCTAAGTTTCCTCCTGCATCAAACCTCCATAAAACATCAAGGTTAATGTCCAATGTAATTCCTTTATGGGATCTTTTAGCACCACTGCTTTCACTTGAACTTGATGGCCTCTTTCCACTCATCTTGAACAAGGGTACACAGTAACACAGTCCTGAATAGTACATAAGTACAGTAAGATCTCATATTTCGCGAGATTTCATTTCGCATTTTTTAATTTCACAAGTACTACCTAATGTAACCAAGTCCTTTATTGGGTGTAAAATATCGTGAGTTTTGCGAGATCCAGCAAGCGTGTTTTGTCAACGCGAATTGGTTGTAACGCATTTGACGAATAGGAGAACGCTTTTTGTAAAACGCGAACTTTTGCATACCAATCTTGGCTATTGCGTGATTCCATCCTCAATGTTTTGATTCCATCCTCAACGTTTTAAGCTTGGCGCGGGGTTATGCAATGTTTACAGTTCACGTTCGACATCACATGTTCAATTGATTCGTGTCTTTTGTTTGTGAAGTGTTTTTTGAGAGGCACTCTGTAAATTTTGTTCTTTTTTTTTGCAAATTTAGCTGTTACCCATAAATACTGTATGAAAAGAATAAATGAAAAGAATGTTTCACAGTGAGGACTAATAACGATTTACACCAGCGCTCTGTTTACATCACGTGATCAGTTGAATCGTGCGGTTTCTGTTGATTGCTCTGTGATTTTTGCTGCTTTCTCCAATTTTTTGTGTTAGCAATGAATATGGAATGACAAGGTAAGAAGAAGGTTTCCAAGAAGCGTTCTGGTGATCGAATTGCCGGTGGTGAACGTAAAAGAAAAGATTTACAAGAACACAACTATCTTTTTGTAGCCCGCGCCATCCTAGCGACCGCCTGGGCTGCTATTGTGTGCTATTTTTGGGTGGTGCTACCACCTGTTGAGTCAAAATAATGGCCTCTGCCTCTACTGGGGGTCCTACTGGTGCTGGTGGGTGTGGGATAGACCCACTTAAGCGGCCAAATAAGGAAAAGGAGAAGCGAGACTATCATAAGGGAGTTAAGTTTGCCAAATACTCCATGCAGGATAAGCAGCGTGTGATTAAGTTACTTGAGGAAGGCCTAAAAACTAGTTAGATAAGAAAGATTACTGGTTTTCCAGAAAGCACAATCAGGTCAATAAAGGCAGAATTTGTATCATTTGGAGGTTATAAATAGGAAAATCAGAAGTTGATGTAGAGTTGCCAGTCTATATTGTTATTTTTCCCATTAGTTTATGTATTTGCATTTGGCGAATTTGAATTTGGCACAATTTTTCCAGTCTATATTACTCGCGTAATACAATCTCTTACTGTATGTAAGTGTCGCGAGACCAAGCGCACAAGACTGCACAAGATAGG